CATAGAGTTGGAAGAGACCACAAGGGCCATCGAGTCCAACCCCCTGCCAAGCAGGAAACACCATCAGAGCACTCCTGACATATGGTTGTCAAGCCTCTGCTTAAAGACCTCCAAAGAAGGAGACTCCACCACACTCCTTGGCAGCAAATTCCACTGTCGAACAGCTCTTACTGTCAGGAAGTTCTTCCTAATGTTTAGGTGGAATCTTCTTTCTTGTAGTTTGGATCCATTGCTCTGTGTCCGCTTCTCTGGAGCAGCAGAAAACAACCTTTCTCCCTCCTCTATGTGACATCCTTTTATATATTTGAACATGGCTATCATATCACCCCTTAACCTCCTCTTCTCCAGGCTAAACATGCCCAGCTCCCTTAGCCGTTCCTCATAAGGCATCGTTTCCAGGCCTTTGATCATTTTGGTTGCCCTCCTCTGGACACGTTCCAGTTTGTCAGTGTCCTTCTTGAATTGTGGTGCCCAGAACTGGACACAGTACTCCAGGTGAGGTCTGACCAGAGCAGAATACAGTGGCACTATTACTTCCCTTGATCTGGTGGACTTGTCCAAAAGTGAAGGCCTTCTGGGAAATGATCTATAATGAGTTAAAAATGGTATTTAAGTATACCTTTCCCAAGAAACCAGAGGCCTTCCTCTTGGGCATTGTTGGCCAGAAAGTGTTAAAGAAGGATAGAACTTTCTTTATGTATGCAACTATAGCAGCAAAAATACTTATCGCAAAATATTGGAAGACACAAGATTTGCCCACACTGGAAGAGTGGCAGACGCAATTGATGGACTACATGGAACTGGCTGAAATGACTGGCAGAATCCGAGATTTGGGAGAAGAAACAACGGAAGAGGACTGGAAAAAATTTAAGGACTATTTACAAAAACAATATAAGTTGTATGAATGTTAAAAATTTACACGATTCGGAAACTATAGCTTCAGCAATTAGATTTGGGAAACAGGAAATTATATTTTAAGTAAGAAAAGGTCAAAATCTAAGGTAATACTATGTTTAATTTAAGATATAAGTAACTGATGAAAAGTATGTTAAATTTAGAGGTATAGTATTTGAAAAGTACAAAATAAGGTACGAAACAAGGTAATAATTTGCTGATATCTTTATTATAAAGAATGCAGGGTAAGGGAGATGCGAGGAAGCCCAGTTAGTTATATAAAAAATGTGTTGAATGGTTGGTTTTCTTTTCTTCTTTTTTTCTTTTTCTTGTTCTTTTACTTTTTTCTTCAGTGTATGTTTCTAACTTTGTATTTGAAAACTTAATAAAATATTTATATATAAAAAAAGGGAAAATCCTTTCGCTTTTCTGGGGTGCAGGGAAGTCTCAGAGCCGGAGGTTGGGGAAGGGACCCCCTTTGCTCTGCCCTCTTCTCCCGTCTTAGATTCGCATGGGGGTCCCCGCCCGAGCTTGTCTGGCCACCGGGCCACACAAGGGCCGCGCTCTACGCGGCGCACCTTGCTAGCCGCGCAGCTGTCCTCCGCGGCTGCGGAGCGGCCCTGCACCGGTGCCCAGCCCCTCTGGGCGCCCGCTGCACTGCCAATGACAAGCGGGCGACGTCGCGGGCGGGGAAGGCGTCGCTTTCTTTCCCGATCCTGCATCCTCCCAGTCTTCCAGCCCTTTTTTGGGTTGGAAGCTCGTCTCGTTCGCCCTTCTCCTTTCTTCACCCTGCGCGCAATTTTCCTCCCTCGTCTCCCTCCCCATTTCTCCTTCCTTCCTGACTGACTGACTGACTGACGGGCTCGGGCTCGGGCAGCCACAGCGTCGGCGGTGTTGGCGCTCGGCGGCGCGGGGGGATGGCCCTCCCGGGGGAGCCGGCGCTGCTCAATGGGGTTGCCAAGGAGACAGGCCGGGCGCCCCCCTCCCCCGGCCCGGCGCCCCCCGCCGCGCCGGTGCCCGTTATCGAGCTGGTGCGCGCCCGGCGCCCTATAAAAGCCACGGACGCGCCAAGCGTCGACACGCAGAGCCAGCGCGGCAGCGGCGCTCTGCTGGAGGGGGCCCCCTCAGGCCCCATGGAGCCTATGCGCTCAGGAGGGGCCGGTGGGCTGGCAAGCGCCTCACAGCAGCAGCACCAGAGAGGGAGAGAAGTCCGCCTCCCGCTGCCGCCGCCTCTTCATCCCCAGCAGCAACTTCCCTGCCCGGCTCCCCGCCGCCGCCGCCGCCTCCTTCTCTCCCTGCTTTGCAGTAGCAGCCGCCGCCGCCGCGGCACACCAGGCAACATCTCCCGGCACACTAGTGTGCCGCGGAACACCGGTTGGGAAACACTGCCATATTCCACATAGTAAGCTGGTATCACTTGGTTTGGAGGGTTCTGTGAATTTCCTTATGCCACAGCAAACATTTCTTTTTTTATCTTTATAAGTGGTGTGGTGAAAAATCACTTAATCTAGCTGATGAACTACTGAACATTCATCGCTCAGCACACAGTAAGAAATGTCTTTGTCATGTTTACACCAGTGTTACAGATGGGACCTATGCAACGAAGGAAGAGAGATGAATGTCTCCCAAAACTCTGGGGCAGCAAGTGAGCACATACTATGGAAAAACTGGTATACATGCCCCTTTGGAGGAAACACCCGTGAAAGTGTGGCAAACATGTGTATCAGCCCCAAGAGGGCATCTGTTCCTTTAATAAGCACCAAGAAAGAAGAGTTTCATTGGGTGCAGCATTTTCCCTTCAGTGCTGAAGTGGAAAAAGAAGCCACGCTTTATTGAAACTTTGCTTCTGTGCAGCACTTACAGAGGCCCTCGCAGGATTTGGATGTGATAAGGATTAAGGATTTTACAATCTCCTTTTCCCGCTCTCTTGGCTTTTCCACTACTCCCACTCTGAAGATTTGTTTCAAGGAGGAAGAACTTGGCAGTTGCCTTGGAAACTGGGATGTTCCGTAACTCAGAAGTGATGGGGGGCATAAAGCAGTTCCTAAGCAGCCACCAAGAGTTTCTTCGCCTCCATCTGCTCTAGTCACTGTTGAAGAACGACCCTGTGGAAAGGGAAATGGTAGCCTCTGGCAACACCGAGGCCACAAATACCCAAACACCCAAGAGAAAGCACAGGCACACAACCCATGACAGCAGTGCCCTCTTCATATCAGTCAGTGAAAAAACACACTAACAGAATCACATGAGATGGGCAGCATTTGACTTTTTAGCAAGGCCACCCAGAGCAGGACGATATACAAGAAGAACCTGTCTGGTCACGCCTGCATTTGATGATCCTTCCACATGAATGATGTACCGAGAAAAGCAGTTTCTTCCTCAGCTACTGGCTTGTTTGCAGTCTTGACTTTCTCAATGCAAGCAAGGAGTAGGTGTAAGTGATTCAGTCATGCAGCCTCCACAAATTCCAGACTTCAGCATCATCTCGTAGGGCAGGAGGTTCCAAAGACTGTCACACAATCAACAGCCCAGTTTTTATTTGACAGGAATTAGTGGGTGGGGGGCAAAAACAACCAAACACTGCTGTACATCATATATCGATCAACTAGATTCATGCCACATATCCGGCACTCACACTTTCAAGGAAAGGAAAGAACAGAATTTTTTTTTAAAAATCAGCTCTTGCAGGGAGGAAAAAAGATGAGAAATAGGATAGCCACAGTGCAACAAGAAATACTGTTGTCAAAGCAGCATACTGAAAAGCAACTTCTAATGGAAATGTCTAAAGCTATAATCATTCCTGACCACTGGTCCTGTTAGCTAGGGATGAGGGAGTTGTAGTCCCAAAACATCTGGAGGGCCGAGTTTTCCTATGCCTGCTATAATCCTACATACCTACATTGAACTGAACAGGAAGATGACAAGTTTGTAGTGCAGTTTGATTTCCAATACAACAGTAAGCAAAGCTCAGGAACTGAAATTTTCTTTCTTAAAAGTTGTGCCTCTAATCAGATACATTCTGAAGAGCTAAAGTAAAATTTCACATCTTTTGGCTTTTCATTACTTTCTTTGATATTTTTGCCTAGAAATGCTAGGGGGTCTGTTGCCTTTCATAGGTAGAAGAATCACTGAAGCGACAGGAGAAGCTGCATTTACCAAGTATCTTCATGGTACACAACTACATAAAGCACTATTCCTAACTCCATGTCAAGAACTGACAAAACAAGTTCTGTGACTGATCAGGAAGAGGATAGGAAACCTGTGGGCCTCCAAAAATAGACTACACCTTCCATCATCCCTGACCAATGGTCATGATAGCTGAAACTGATGATACTTGGGAGTCCAGCAACATTTGGTGGATCACAGGTTCACCAATTCTGGTAGCATCATTTCTGTTTATATAATCTTCTCACACTGAAGAACAGAAGAAGACCCTAGTGTGTCAGGCCCATGACCCATCGAGTCCAACATCCTGTTCTCTCAGTGGCCAAACACATGCCCATAGGAAGCCAGCAAGCAGGACCCAAGCACACTTCCCACTAGTACCATTATCTCATCCTAAAAGTTATCTTTTATAAACAAAATACATAAGGAAACAAATCCTAAAACAAGTTCAAATGTTAGTAGAACTGAGGATCAACAAGATTAGCTTTTTAAAAAGCAGATGTTGAGAGGGGAGTGGATTTGCCCATTTACCTTACCACAAAATTCTGGAAACAAATTACCGGTATATGGTGAATAAATAAATTATTGGATGTTCCTCTTCCTGCAGATCTTAAAATTATATGATCAATTTATCTGAATACTGTAAGACAGGAAGGATTGTTTTGTATATAGTCGGCAGCTAAAATGTTGATAACAAAGCTCTGAAAATAAAATAACTCATCCATCAGTGGTCAATTAAAGTCTGTGAAATTGCAAACACAATGAATCCATAAGACAACATTTTTAAAAGGGTTGATAGCAAATCTGAAAGAGCAAAAATCCTTAGCCAAACTGTTACACAACTCTGGAATGATAAAACTGCTAGTAATCTCTTGCTTTGTAAATTCTTTGAGTTTTATCAAATTTATTTTACATGCTTTTCTCTGTGGTAAAACATGATAATAGAACACACAAGTGCATCATTGATGCTTTTCAGAACATACCATCTTGCCTGGAACCTTAGATAGCTTCACACTGTGGCAATGCTGGAAATTGTGAGTTTTCTTTCTGCCTAGGTGGCATTTAGTTCCATGTGAAGGCATCACTTTTTCTTTCCTTTGGTATAAAGATCCATAATTCTTATAGCCCCTCTTTTCCCCATTCTTATTGTCAATTATTTGACGCTCCCATTGCTCTATTGCCGCTGTTATCTTATTGGGTGCTGTTTTAAATGCCGCCTCCATTTGTGACCCCAACTCCACAGCCTTTGCCAGAGTTAGAGAATCTATTTGCAAAAATAGGGTCTCCCTAATTCGCCAGTCTTCTGCTTTCTCAATCAGCTGGTCAAGCACCAGCTCATCCTGCAAAGGCCCAAAATCACAGCCTGATGCCAAATCCCACAGTGCAGAGGCAAAACTCATAAAGGTCTCCCCAGGAAGTTGCTCCCGCTGCCGGAAACAGAGCCTCTGGATTCTCTTGAAAACACTTTGCCTTGGTGTGAAGTCTTCCTGGAACTCATCAATAGTCTCAAATAATGCAATGGAGCCCAGCTTTGTCTTCTGATTTCCCCAACCAAAACGGTAGGGAAGTTGGTCCTCCATGTTCTCCCATCCAGATAAACACATGAAGAATTCAAGAGCATTCAGTCCATGTGACTAGGACTTCTCCCCGCTAAAGTTTGGGAGAAAATAATAGAAGAAAGAAAGTATACGAGTCCACCATCTTCTAGTCACAGCAATGTAACTGATAGTAAACACACCACTTTGCTTTTCTAATTAGCAGGTAGGCTTAGTCAGCAGAGTCACATTCAGACTCTTCCCCATAAACTGTCCTGACCTGTAATTTGTCATCTGGACATCTCCGCCTTTTAATTTCTTTGTTTCCTGAATATTGTTCGTGGGCATAAAAATCATTAAAAGTATTTATTAGTGCTTATGAACTCAGAATCCTACATTGCCTCAGATTTCCTGGCATCAGAGGCAGATAGCATCCCTCATTCAATCCCAGATAGACAGAAAACTCATAGTAAAACAATTTCCAGATGCCAAGAGAAGTAAACTGGACACAGCAAAGCCTAAAGGACCCTCAACAGAACAGAGGCAAATATTAATAAATGGGGTGGCACATTTGACGGTGTAGTGCGGCTGCTCTTCATGACAGCCCCATAGCCACAATCAAAATAAGCTTTTAAGCAAAGCCCAATGGCTCCAATATCAAACTACCTTTTTTTCACACTGGCACCCCACTTTACTTCACATCCAGCCCGACGACGAGTTCCAGTGGACTCCAAAGCTTGCTCATTATTTGGTGGCATTTGATTGGTCATAATAAAGTTTGGGTTTTGGGGTTGTTTTTCCCCTCAAACAAAAGTGGCAGTTTCAACCTGAGCCATGCGTGCAAATTTAACAAACATCTTCCTCTGCTTAGCTTACCTCCTGGGTTCCTTTCTGAGAAGAGTTTATTTATTTGGCATGCAGATAATTGGAAAATAGCATCCCAGTAGCTGGTTATCATCCCTGCTGTGAAATGTGTCAGTGCTTTATCCTTGACCCATGCCCACTCCGCAACATCACTGAGTACCTTTTTGATTTATTTATTTTTTGAATTTTTTTTGATATTTGGAAACCTAATTTCCACACTTCAATTCCTACCCAGTATTTGTAGCTATGGGTAAGAATGATTACCTGGAAGGCTGCCGAGAATACACGTGAGGAGGCTTGTTTCCTACAGTACTGGGTGTCACTTTTACCACCCACATCATTCATCTAAATATAGCTCAGTCTGAACTCAGCAGGCAGCAATCACAACTGCAGAAATGCAGCAAGCCCACTCTATAATGAGCACCTTCCACAAACTGCCCTGAAAATAAATTAAGCTTTTTGGACATTTGAGCATTTCTGAAACCAGTGCCAGATTTACGTATAAGCTAAACAAGCTATAGCTTAGGGCCCCACTCTCTTGGGGGCCCCCCCAAAAAATAAAGGGGGGGAAACGGGATGTACATTTCCAAAATATAAGGTAAGAAACAAATAAAATAAAACCCTACATACAGCAACTGTGTTTTGTATTGTATAGGCTCCTATGATGTAAATAATGGGCCCCGCCTGCTCCTTAAAATATCACTGGTTTGCTCATTTCAACATTTTGCATGGACTGGTTACATGGCAACTTGTGCAAATGGCTTTAGATACCTATTAGGTCCATAAATTACCATATAGCATATATTCAACCCAAAAAACAGTGACAATTTGTTGTTGACAAAGGACAGCTGGACATATAAAGGGCCCCATTACCCTCAGTAGCTTAGGGCCTCATCAAACCTAAATCCGGCCCTGCCTGAAACATTAAATATGAACACCTGACATGCCCAGCTGATACTTTATTTTATTTTACTCCCTCCTTCCTTACCAGTCACCCCACCTTCCTCAAGTAAACAAAAAGTAACTCTTGGGGAAGGGACTAGTTGACAGCTGAGGGCTCCTTTCCTCGCTAGGCCTCTCCTTAACTCTAAATACTGTGTGGAACATCACTTCCTGCTGAGGGACCAAGTGACCTGATGACAGAAAACTATGTCCCACAATCCTTCAGTAGAAAATGGTGTTGCTCAGAGTGTCATTTACTGCCAAGGGTAGACGCCCTCATCTGTGTAAAAAGGAGTCTGTTACCCTATCCCAAGGTTTGGCTTTTTTTGGCTTGCAGAGAGACGAGGCAACTGACAGTAAAATGACAGAAGCATTTTGAATCCAGGCAGACTCAAAGCAGGCTGTGACCCAACTCCTAGGCCTAAGAGGGCTCTGCATCCTCCATTACAGAGGGCAGCCCTCAGCCTAACAGAGTTCTCTATTTGAAGGATTATTGGGGTCAAGTTTGATAAGATAAAGAAAGATAAAGAAAAAGAATCACCTGAGCAGCCGTGCAAGTCACCTGTTTAGTCTTCTCCATTATGGTGAAATATATTGTATTTCTATTTCAAATCTGATGCAATTTGTTCTTCTCTTTTATTCTCTTTTTTGACGAAGTTTTTCCTCTTTTTCAGCAATATGTAACCTGCCACGCTTCTTAGATCGTAATCCCATATGTGTCTACTCAGAAGTGAATCCCATTGAGACATACTCCCAGGTAAGTGCGTATAGGATTGCAAACCTAATGGGCCAGACATTTACAGCAGGTGGAGTCTGCATTACAAACTCCCCGCAGTGCAAGAGCAGCCTCTCTTAAAAGGATAACAGTTTAAAACTCCCGATTCTTTCAAACTTCTTAGAATGTAACTTTTGTGGTTCTCTGAATCAATCTGTGCTGATTTTCAGCAATGACTGCCATTATGCAAAGGAAGGGACATGGCTCACTGACAGAGCATCTGCTTTGCATTCAGAAGGTCCCAGATAGGGCTGTGAAAGACTTGGGTCTAAAACTTTGGAGAGTCACTTCCAGCCATTGCAGACAATACTGAGCTATGTGGTGTGACTCTGTATAAGGCAGCTTCCTATGATAAAGTGACTGTATAAATGCTGGTGCTACATTCAGAATTCCATGCGGATCACCTCTGTCCACACCACTCTAAGAGTAACTACATGCAAAAACACAAACCGATAGAACCATAACTGCGTTGACGTAACTACCATCATATAAGTGCAAATCAGTAAATATGCACCAGTTCAAACTGTGCTTCGGAAAAAGTTATGACAATAGATCCAAATTCCAGGATTCAGAAGCACAGAATATAGTTCAGGGAACTACCAAAAGGCCAAAATCTAATGCCTGGACCAAGCTATAGACCCAGTAGTGGCATTTTAGTAAAATTATCAGTTTTACAGCAGTTTAACTTTTGCAGCTTCTCCCAGATAATCCTGGAAATTGTAATTCGCACAAACTCTAAGCTGTCTATCCCTCCCCTACAGAGCTATATTTCCCTTGCCAGGGTAAATTGATGATTATATAAACCATTTTAAATTTAGAGCATAGATGTATTCACCATTTTACACAAACACACACTCCTTAATAAATCCCTGAAAAATAAACATAGAAAATAATAATTATAGTCTACAATTCTACTTGTTAAGGTGTGTTAGAGTAGGATGGAACAACCAAAATTGTCTTAGAAAAACATGTAATCTTAGCAAAGTAGACCTAGATGAATCACATGGCCTTGTGGGAGCTGGAAAACCATTAAGTCTTATTGCTTCATACTGTAGTAAAGGTGACAGCCATGACCATTCCTAATGCTGTACTTATTTTTCTTACTACAGTCACAGTGCTCACAAATTGCATGCTTGTAAGTTACAATTTGTGGTCCAAAAGCAAGCAAGTTTCTCAAATATGCTGTGGAAGGCATTACATTTACAGCAGAACTGTATCTAACTTCTCAAACAGATCACAATACAGTACGTACTTAAAAATGGTTTTGTATTAGTCACAATTTACCTCCTAGAATGGGAGTATGGGGTTGTGTAGGAATAAGCTCTGTTCCAATTCTAGGCACGTAGGAAGCTATGGTATATTCTCATTTACAGGCAAGAGTCACCTGAGAACTTCTGCATGCAAAGCAGGTGCTCTACCACTGAGCTATGGCCCTCAACCTAAATTTTGTTTAAATACGTGAAGGTCAGGAGCCACCATGATCCCAAACCCCACCATTCCACACATTCAGCAGTTCATTGTCTGGTCAAGGCTAGTCTTCGGATATTCATACCTCATTACAGCAAAATGTATATAATTGACTGGTATAGCTATATCCTTTTTATGACTTCTTTCTGTGCTTAAATTCATTTTGTTCCACGTGTGCTCCTGACACTGCTTTGATATCCTGCATCCACTTGAAACGGTTACACTTGTTATACTTGTCTGGATCATGAGGTTACTCTAGCTCCAGGACAATGCTCATAAGGAGTCACCAAATGGCACCGTTTCCTGTCTAACAAAATGAAGGCTCTCTTTTTTCCGATCTGTTATTTTTCTCAGCTGAAACATTGGGTCTTAGATGGTGTAAGCCAATAGTTTTGCTTGAAATTCCATTATTGTGTAGGTATTTCTGCGTTTCCATACAGATTAATTACCGGTAAATCCCAATATATACCACAAGGTATTTAGGAACTGTTTCCAGCAAAAACTAAAGGCATGAATTAAATTAACATTTCTGTGGTAATTTTTAGACCACTTCTGAATGACAACCTATCATACTAGGGCAACTATTTGTCCAGTTAACTGATTATTATTAGTTTATTTTTATTATTCAGTTTATATACTGCCCTTTATCCCACAGCAGTGTACAACATTAAAAACCTAATTTCTGTCACATAGTAATAAAAGCAATTAAACAATCACAGGGGGGGGGGAATCATAATAACAATCCCCCCACATTTAAAAGGCCATAGCTTGTTTAATGGTCAAAGGCCTGGGTGAAGAGGAATGTTTTCACCTGGCATCAGGCAAGACTTTCTGGGGAGAGCATTCCATAGATAGGGAGCCACCACAGAAAAGGCTCATTCTCGTGTTGTCAACCCCTTGGGGAGGGAGAACATGGAGAAGGGCCTTGGATGACAATCGCAGGATCTGGCTTGGTTTGGATGGGGAGAGGCAGTCCTTAAGGTATTGAGGTCCTGGGCCATATAAAACTTTATAGGTAATCAAATGGCTCTATTATGTCACATGTTAACTTCTCCCATGGACAGGAGGAACAGATAACTGACAACATGGCG